GAGTAAACATAAATCGTAAAACCCATACTATCCCATCATTATATTTATTGTGGAGTTTATAGCAGTAGTTGTTATGGCGTTAAATTATTTAAAGCATCGGTTGAATCATTCATACAAACACTCATGTTTTGTGTTTTAATTTAAATTCTGTTACAAAAAACACATGAAATGATTTGCAGGCATAGATCTGTGCTCTATAGTATGGTCTCAATTATTGTGCACAACTTACTGCATATTCCCTACGATTACTATAATTACAATTTCTCATGCAATCCATGCAAATAGAAATAAGATTGTATTCATAAATAAAACATCAAATGTTATTGAATTTATGGGTGAAATATTTCATCTAAAAATTATGGTGTGATCCTAAACAAGTTTTAAGTATTAATATAATATATTACCAATCCCTAAATGTAATCATTTAATAAATGAATTTGTGTAATTAATTTTTATTATTAATCATTAATAATTATTATTTAAATTAATTAATTATTTTTTTAATGAGTGAAATAAAATTATAAAATATTATTATTGCATAAATTAGGCGATTAAAAAAAATTAAATAATTTTTATAATAAACTTTAAGATAGTGAATAGCAAGTGAATATAATTGGCAAAATAATAGACAGCAAACTTACATTACTTTAATTAGAACTCAATTCACGAATTCATAGCAAATGGTATAACATTTGCGAAACTTTCACTCATTTGCACTGTTTATGCATTTGTAGCAAATATTCAGTCATTTTTATAATTAAATTTATAAAGAAATACTCGTAACAGAAGTGCAATACTAAAACTACAATGCAAGTAAATAGACACCATTTCTACAGAATATGTTATATAAAATAGAGTGTAAATTATATCATTTATGAAATAGTTATTCAACATATTATTTTAAAACTGTATTAATTAACAATGAATTGAATTTAATTCAATTTTCTATTTTCATTCTTCGAAACAATTCATTAAATTCATGATAACTTAGTATTATATAAGTTATAATAAATAAATTCCTTGGATTTCATTTAAACATATTGTTTGACATCTAATAGAGGGTTCAGACAAAAGCATATCCATTGGTGTGACACCAATATCTTCAATACATTTAAAGCATTCAATTATTTCTCGCTTATTTGACCATAACTTTCATTCCTTTCAATAATAATATTATAATTTATATTGCATTAAATGCGCGCAAATAATAAATTTATAAATCATATGATTTAAAGCATTATCAAATAAATTTAAACTTCAAAACAACTTTTGTTTCTTGTATTGCCATAAATAATAGACAAAATTAATAAAGATGTCATCAAATAAGCTACAAATGAATCAACCGTACAAGATATTGACAGATATATGGGGTGTTATTACTTCCTGGGAATTCAAAGCCAATCTTAACACATATATTGACGACAATATAGAGATGTTTTTGACACAAAACTGGAAGGAATACGGAATCAAAGCTTTCGTTCTTCGGTTACAAGAAGTCAATGCAAGCGACGAGAAAGAGTGCAAAGATTTACCGCCAATTGAAGCGACAAATGAAGATAATTCAGAAGCTGTTATTAAATCGATTGTCAAAAACATTAAATGGAGAAAAGTTCATAAATTAAAGACATTTGCAAAAGAAAGCAAACAGCTTTATAACAGCATTATGTCCGATGGCTATCGAAACAAAACACTCAGAGCTCACGCTTTTGATGATGTTTTGCCAGCATTTCAGTCGTGGACTGCAGAAGATCTCGGTATTAAGATCTACACATTTGCTTCCGGGTCATCGGGTAAACAACGATTATTTCTCAGTTCTTGCATATGCGGTGATCTCAATGATTACATTATCAACGGAATCAATAGTTTTCAGTCATATAAACACAATTCAAGCAAATTTCACCAAATTTTTTCAGCCCTTCTGGAAAGAGTTCCTCGAAATATTCTCTACTTAACCGATAGCCCAAAGAAAGCAAAGGCATCGCTCGAGTCGGGTATGAGAGCTGTGGTTGTCTTAAGACAAGGAAACAAAGTTTATTCCGATGAAGAGCTCAATGGTTTGCAAACAGTTATTTCGCTCAATGATTTCCAGTTTATACCAAGCAATTGATATAAATTTAGAAAATATACATAATTGTTGTCACTGATTGTCTTTATTCATTAAAATGTATATTAATATAAATTGTTTTACAGAATTAAATTTATTTACAGCTAAGATTTTTAACAAAATAAATCTAATTAGAAATCGTAATGTGTAATATATGTAAATGAATTTAAAACTTAATGGTCTGAACATAAGTTTGATTAACAAGTGTCTAACAATTTGGTCCCTAATATCTTGCAGCGAATGAATAGTTATGTAATTCAGTGAAGATTTTTGTCCAAATATTTCTCAGAATCACATCCTTTAGTGAACAGTAATTCGTATAACAGATGAATAACTGTTATTATGTAAGACTTCATTGAGGCTTGAAATCGAAATATTATCGACAAAAACATTTATATAAATAAATACTTATATTACTTATAAATAAGAGAATAAAGCAAAGATTTCATATAAAAGACATCGCTTTGAAAGCGCATTTTGCGACAAATTGCAAACATTTCTTATTATAATTGCCATTCATTTTTATAATTACTGTATTGTGTCTCTTATAGAATGTTGTCCATGTAACCAAGATGGTTATGATAATTTTATAACAAATATTGATATATTATTAATATTTCTATAAAGTTTAATATTAATAATATGTATTTAGCACATATATTACAAGCATCCGATATAACAAAATTGAACTGGAAGAAACTAGAATTTTATGATATGTGAAAGGATAAGTTAGAATTTTGAAAAATAAGATATAATTAAGTAAGATAGTATTAAATTCTATGTAAAAATGTTTAGTTGCATTTTGAACATTTACAATAAACACACCGAATTAGGGCATTGAATGAAAAAAAATTTATAAGCCTAATAAGGTCCATAAATATGAGGTTATTAATATAATGTGTTTTGTGATTATATTAATGTGCAAAACGCAACTAAACACCATGAATTAGTTTCATGAAAATAATATTATTAAAAATTATTTTATTCTGTAATGATATTATTAAAGTGAATATTTTTATGAATATGAAAATGTCAAACTAAAAACTATTCGATAACATAATTATCAAGTAGACTGCAAAATAAATAAACAACTTAACATTTAAACGAAAAAGAGTATTGCTTTCTATACAAATAGTTTTAAAGAGTTTTGTAAAAAATCAAATTATTTATTATACTTAGAATAAAGGACGCATTGAAGCAAAGTTTGTTGATTTATGAGAGAGAGAGAGAGAGAGAGAGAGATATGAAATGAATGTTGAGTTCATGGAGAGGATTGGATCTCTTCATATAACAATAATTTGTCTTTTGATTATATGAATCATTATAATGCATTTAAATGTGTCAATGAAGTAAAAGCTATAATAATATTATAATAATTTTAAAATTGAATAATCATCTGGAAAGAAGATGTGATTTGAGATGAATGGATGAATAGAGAGTATTTATAGTAAAAATATAATCAAAAGACAAATTATTGTTATATGAAGAGATCCAATCCTCTCCATGAACTCAACATTCATTTCATATCTCTATTGGTTTACAAGTTATCTATTTATTTATCAATTCATTCGATAGGCTTTCAAATAATAGGCTTTGCTTTCAATAGACTCTTTCGGGTTCACAGACTACAGACACAAGTCCTAACATTTGGTTATATTTCTTACAAATGCTTGCAATCGATTTACTGCTTATACTGTATAACAAAAACACAATTTTCTCCTACATTAATGACAAAATCGAGTCAATCTCGATGTTAATGCAAACATCAAAGTGAACACTAAATCATTAAAACACTGCAATTCATACTCTCTATTCATCCATTCATCTCAAATCACATCTTCTTTCCAAATGATTATTCAATTTTTAAAATTATTATAATATTATTATAGCTTCTAGTTTATTGACACATTTAAATGCATTATAATGATTCTCCAAAAACTCTTAAATTAGTGATCAATAGCTCATTAAAGCATTTAAAACCACTTATCATTAGCTCTCACTTTGCTTCCAAACGAATCGACAATTTTTTGTGCACTAAAAACTCAATTATAATAAATGACTATAATTTAGAAATTACTTAATGCCTGATATAAAGAATGAAATATTGTTTTCATAGAATTAGTGCAATCATTGTTTGAAACTTAAGTGAATCAATACATGTTTGAGTGCTTTTGCGTCAATTCATTGGTTAACACAAATGATAGACTCATCCGATATCTCCTAAAATAGATTTTTTGCACAAATGACAATAATTTGGCAAAAAGCATAAGTTTTGGCATTTTTAAAACAACTTCAAATTGTATCACACATTCTATATTATTATTTTAAATATATATTTACGTCGACTTACAGTATAAACATCAAAAAATTTAAAAAAAATAGCTTTAAATTTATTAGTCATTATAATTACGCAAAATAAAAAATTGCAAAAATAAATAAAACGCAAAAATACGCAAAAATTATCGTTTCAATGATTAGATCCGTGGTCGCCGTTATCGACATGTATATCATTACATAGATTTGAGTGCATTTGCAAGTCTTGTACCAAATGGTGCTGTTCTTCGGCACTTAGAGTAATGTCAGAGGACTTTCTGTAGTCATTAATAACAAAACGGAGTAATTCAGTGAAAAACTTGGATTCGCATTGTGTTTCCGGATCGTATCGATCGAATTGATCCAAATTATCCTGAAGTTTAAGAGTCAATGTGTCGTAATTGTTGCGAACTATTTCCAGCACTTGTTCTTCAGTAAGCGATGGGATCTGATGTGTGGAAGAGTAGGTCTCGATTTTGGCGTTGAAGTGATTTATAATGGCTTTGATGTTGACAAGCGAAGAGGAAAGCTTTGNGTATTTATTTTGGTGTCATTTTTTAAATTATCCACAATTTTAGGGTTACTCTCGTGTCATATCAAATGAATTATTAGAGTTTAATAAAAGGTTTGATGAAATTAATAATGAATCCAAATCAAGTGGAATATTTAATACGTTAACAAATATGGTATTGAATGGTTTTGTTTTATCAAATAAATTATTGTATTCAATGATAATATCTATGAAAAGGTTGGAAACATGTTTATTGCGGATGACAACGGCATCTCAAAAAGCAATCTGAAGACTAATAATTCTGTTTTGTTAGCCTTTTATGAAGCGGTTCATCTGAATAGGAATTTCATTACACTTCTTACGACTGTAAGCCATCATAACAAATTGTTACTGTTTAATATTCTTATACTTTCTAAAAATTTGCAAATATTTTTAGTCCCCAACAGACGTTTACACCATTCCCTGTGAAAATCCTGACCCAACCAACGAAATAAATAAGGGTAAGGGTTGCCTCTCTTGTAATTAATTTGGTGACAACTTTAATGACCATTTGATTTGTATGTATTTCCCATTGAAGATACTCTGGAATCGATGCAGAGCCCGCCCTCCAATCTTTTGGTCGCTTTCCTAGAATTCTCTTCCATTGTAATGCTTTACACAAAAGGTGTGTTTTGGCACTAATTTAATGATATTTTATTGTCAATCACTGAATCTTATAATTAATGATTGAAAACAATTTAGACGAAGCGATACTACAGACATCGCGTCTGTGTTTCATAATCCTGACCTGTATTACGGAGGACCAGTGCGCCAATGCCATCATGCATGACATGAATTTGCCGTTTACTGTGCAATTGCATCGTATGGTAAGTGTTTTAATTTAAACTTATGTTGCATTCAGTAGTTTAGAATATATGGCGCTTTTAATTGGTAGCCAATGAGGCACCGGAAAGTGTGCGCTCAGAGCAAGCTTTCGCGACCCCTTTCCTACTCTGTGATGGACTTAATGGTGGAATTCATATTAACTCACACGCGAAAGAATCTGTTACTCGATCTGTATCTGCTGTGCATTGGAGTCATCCATCGATTACTGTGTTATCAGAAGAAATGCAAAATAAGAGTCGATTACGTGTGGAAGGACTTGTGGTCCGCTTTAATAGTTTTAATGAAATTCATTTTAACCAATGAGACGGAACTCCTGAAAAGGTGTAACATATTTACATTGGCTCTAAATGTGGTGAATATATTCAATCTGTTCATCACATTTGGCGATACATTCCTGCCATCGCCTCAATCTTACGATGAACTCTATTATGAGATAATTCGTATGCATTCAGTCTTCGAGCAGCTCTACTCTATGAGTATGTAATCGATTAAAAGCATATAAAACACTAAATATCTATTGGATGCAAATGTACTAAAATATCTATTTCTGTTGTATTGTATTGCCTTTTTTGTCGACCCAAGCGCTCCGGTATGTGTCAAACGAGAAGGCAGAGCACAAAGAGTCGGCGACAAAGCTTTCCTCTTCGCTTGTCAACATCAAAGCCATTATAAATCACTTCAACGCCAAAATCGAGACCTACTCTTCCACACATCAGATCCCATCGCTTACTGAAGAACAAGTGCTGGAAATAGTTCGCAACAATTACGACACATTGACTCTTAAACTTCAGGATAATTTGGATCAATTCGATCGATACGATCCGGAAACACAATGCGAATCCAAGTTTTTCACTGAATTACTCCGTTTTGTTATTAATGACTACAGAAAGTCGTCTGACATTACTCTAAGTGCCGAAGAACAGCACCATTTGGTACAAGACTTGCAAATGCACTCAAATCTATGTAATGATATACATGTCGATAACGGCGACCACGGATCTAATCATTGAAACAATAATTTTTGCGTATTTTTTGTGTTTTATTTATTTTTGCAATTTTTTATTTTGCGTAATTATAATGACTAATAAATTTAAAGCTATTTTTTTTAATTTTTTGATGTTTATACTGTAAGTCGACGTAAATATATATTTAAAATAATAATATAGAATATGTGATACAATTTGAAGTTGTTTTAAAAATGCCAAAACTTATGCTTTTTGCCAAATTATTGTCATTTGTGCAAAAAATCTATTTTAGGAGATATCGGATGAGTCTATCATTTGTGTTAACCAATGAA